CTTCAGAAGCCTTCCTGCTCCTCTGATGCTGCTTGGCCTGCTGTGTTTATCCAGCTCTACACCTTGTTATCTCAGATTCTCCAGCAGCGGCAGTTCCTACTATCTCTGCCTCAAGTCTTAGTCTGCTTTTAACTTCAGAACAGAGAATAGTAAGCAGCACTCTGATAGATAAGCCTATCTCTAGTCCAAAATTCATTGAAACCTAGTCACAAAAGGTCCTGTATTCACCTGCAAAGTGGACCAAAGCCCATATATCAAGATCATCTTGCTATTCTATCACCATTGTTCGGGTAATGATGTAACTACTGCCATCATTCCTCTGGACACTCAAAATCTTAACTCATGAGGGAAGGAACATTCACTAGACTCAAATCAATATGAATGAATAGCTACACTTCTTTGTAATATTGTTAGATGTAAAACTCTTCTTTCTGGTGTTTTTCTTGTGTGCATTTTTGCATATCTAGGAAGTCACGAAGACTTCACTGGGTTTGATGTAGGTATGAATAATACTCGGTTTAAAACGGAGAGTGTTTTCTGAAGGAGTAATTTTTGTTTTTAAGAAATTACTTTACAAATGGGATTTGTGATACCTAAAACAGCCTATTTGAAATTAAACCACTCTGCTTAGGCAGAAGATGAGGAGAATAACAAATTTCAATCATCCTGTCTGCCCATTTCTGAAGAAGGGTCTAGGCCCGAAACGTCAGCCTTCCTGCTCCTCTGATGCTGCTTGGCCTGCTGTGTTCATCCAGCTCTACACCTGGTTATCTCAGTTTGCCCATAACAAGAGTCATTTTCTTTCTTTTTAAAAATAAGGCTTCTCCATTGATATCCTATGGCTGCAGGGAAATGCCATTTGCAGTTGTTGAGTGAAGTATATCCTCTCACCTCAATTTAAGTTGAATTGCAGTAATATTGGAAATTTATTGAAACAATCTGGTTTATCTTCTTCAGTCTTTGAGACTCCTTCTTAGAAAGCCAATAAATAAAGTGGAATTTGGAAATATTCACATTCAGAATTATCATTGCAATATCCCTATGGGATAATAATGAACTCTGTTTATCTATTTAGCTGTAACTGAAGAACACAGCTCAGAATGTACAGTGGAATACCCACAGGACCAGGGAGGATAAGCACACAGACTCACCATTTGGAGATTGGATAAACATACAGATTTTGTGGGAAATGCGTTTGTTGACCAACTCTCAGAAATTACTGGCAAAACTGTCAACATTAAGTATTTTCTGCTGCTGCAGATGGAGCTTCAGCTCTGAATGACATTTTTGCCATTGTTATACATTCATCTGCTAGTTTAAAAGGAATACCATATTCCCCAGAAAGCTCACATGAAACCTTTGTGACACTTTGCTTAAACATTGGTTGCGTTTCCTCATATACCACCACCTACAAATGAGAAGCTTAGTTTGAATTAACTTTTATAAACATTTTATTTCAGAAGCTGCTCCAAGAAACAGGGCAGCAACTGTATTTAATACATGGTTTCTCTTTTGATTTCAAGAATAATCTTCAGTATCAGTGCTGAATAAGACTCTTAAAAAAAAGCTGCAGCCATTTCAATGAAATCAAATTAACATTGTCCAGAAAAAAATAACAGATTGGAATTAAAATGTACATATTCAAAGAGACACGACGTAAGGAAAGCTGGAGAAACAACTTTGGAGGAGTCTATAGAATTGAAATGAAGTTGCAAAATTACACAATTTTACCTACCTATAGAAGTTAACCTCTGAAAGATTTATATTGCAAACACAAACCAAGTGTTTTTTTTTAAAATCCACATAATAGGCTTAATTAATAAGCTTACCAGTTCAGAGCTGAAGGTGTTGCATGTACCATAATCCAAGCCCTTGTTTTCCAGACCTTTGGTTAAAAGAGTCACCATGGTAACTCTTTGGATCCACTACATTGGGGACAATAGTCAGTCAGTATCATTTTAGGCTGCATCTTCCATTTCACGTCCGCACGAAAGCTAGCTGTGAGAATATTACTGTCTTCATTACTGTCCAATACCACAAAGGAGGAAAAAAACAAGAGGGACAGATTAGTTTTGTGTTCAATAAATCAAGAACTCAAAGAATTACGTTATCTACTGAATATTGTCTAAGAATCTTTGGTGAATTTCTGCCGAGCGCCTGTAGATAGTACCCACTGCTCCTACTGAACATTGGTGGTGGTGGAAGTGGATGCTTGTGGATATGGTGCCAATCAAGTGGCCTGCTTTGTTCTGGGTTGTGTCACGCTTATTTCTTGAGAGTTGTTGGAGCTGCTCCAGGCAAATAGGGGAGCATTCCATCACACTCCTGACTTTGTGCTCTGGGGAGTCCGGAGGTGAGTTACTCGCACAGTATTCCCAGTCTCTGCCCTGGTCTTGAAATCAAGATGTGGAGATTCACAAGTGTGAACCAGATACAACACTCAGTTCCATGGCATTGTAAATTATTAATATGTTGTGCCTAATAATGTTGAAAGGAAAGAAAAATCAAGACCAGCTGCTAAATAGAATCGATGGAAAATATTGGCATTAAAAAATTTGCAACACGTTGTATTTCATAGCAAAGTTGCTTTGTATGTGACTGCAGGGGCAAAAGTTCCAAAGGGATTACACAGCATAAAGATTATATCTTGCATCCAATTTCTCTTCCAGTAAACTAACATGAGAGTAGATTATTTTACTTGCACACAACATTTCATAATGGTTTAATATTCTTTAATAGATCTGTAGCTATATTTTCTTGGGGAAGCAGACTGAATACTTTGCTTATGCAAGAGGTTTGGCATCTTTTGTGCAGATATTTGACCCACAATAGAACAAAATATGACAAGTTCATTTGAACCCCATTACGTAATTAGCTAAAATGCTCTTTTTCCTTACTTAACTGAGGTTAATGAGTTCAGTTAAGTGGTTAAATTGAAGCACTGCTAGCCATATTCTTAAACTCTTTTCCTCTGTCTTCTCCACCCACTCGGCTAACAGTAAATGTGCGCAGGTCATTGATTTCTTGGCTCAGAAAAAAAATCATTTCACCAGTTACCTCCACTACTTCCCCTTCTCACCAGGCCAAACTTTAAATTTTCCCTGCTCTAGCTCTGAATTTGCATTTTTCTATTGTTTCTTTCCTATCTAAGAACTCATCTTGTCTATGAGACAAACCTCCTTGCTCTGTTGTTCCTATTCCCAATGTTGATCACTCAACTTCCCTTTTCCCATGTTAGCTGACAGTGTTAAGAATGATAACGACTGTCAAGTATTATTGCTTTCTCTTAAACTCAGGCAGCCATCACCCACTCCTCAAGCAAAAGGCTCCAGTGTCCATCTCCAACATCTCTTTCCTCTCCAAACCCTTAATGTGTTGTTGCCCACAAATCCGTACCCACCTTTCCCAGCATATTTGAATCCCTCCAGTCAGAATTATATCTATCATAGTACTCAAACATCTCTTATCAAAGTCATGAATGACATCCTATTTGACAGCTTCAAAGATAAACTTTACCTCCTTTTCCTTCCCAACCTTCTCGTAGCCTTTGGCATAGTTAACAGGCCATTCTGCTCAAATGTCTCTCAACTGTGATCCAGCTGCATTGAACATCTCTCTTACCTAGTACCAATTTTCATAGCACATAGGGGAGGCGATGACCTAGTGGTATTATCACTGGACTGTTAATCCAGATACCTTGATAATGTTCTGGGGACCTGGGTTCAAATCCCACCACAGCAGATGGTGGAATTCGAATTCAATAAATATCTGGAATTAGGAATCTAATGATGACCATAATCCATTGTCAATTGTTGAAAAAGCCCATCTGGTTCACTAATGTCCCTTAGGGAAGGAAACTGCCATCCTTACCTGGGCTACATGTCACTCCAGACCCACGACAATGTGGTTGACTCTTAACAGCTCTCTGGGCAATTAGGGATGGGGAATAAATGCTGCCTAGCCAGCGACGCCCTCATCCCTTGAATGATTTTTTTAAAATCCAGCGTATTATTTGAGGTCTCTTCTGGCACAGAGGTAGCATCCCCACCTCTCAACCAGGAAACCTGGGGTCCAGTCCCACCTACTGCTGAAATGTGTAAAACATCTCTGTTCAGGTTGATGGGAAAATATTCAGAATATTATTTGGTGGTCTTGTGGCACAGTTGTAATGTCCAAACCTCTAAGCCAGGAGGCCAGGGTTCAAGTCACATCTGCTCCTGTTGTATGTAATATAATCTCTGAACAGGTTGATTAGAAAATATCAAGTATTATTTGTGGGTCTCTTGTGGTGCAACAGTAGTGTTCCTACCTCTGGGCTTGGAGGCCTGAATTCAAGTCCAACCTGCCCCAGAATGTGTTGTAACATGTCTAACAGGTTGATTAGAAAATAAACAGAGTATTGTTTGTTATAACTCTTCTTCCTACTCCTTTACCTGATGACCTCCAAGGAACTCGCCTTGGTGCCCCACCCTTTTTTCTCATCTATAGCATTCCGTTCATTGACTTTATCCAACTCCACAGCATCAGCTTTCTCCTAGCTGTTGGACACCACCAAACTCTATCCTACCATCTCTCTCAACTCCTCCACTGTCGCGAAATTATCAGTGTCCATTACTGGATGAACAGAAATGTTCTTCACTTAAGAATAAGGAAGACCCAAGCCATTATTTTTGGTCTTCGTCCAAAGTTCACTCCCCAGCTACTGAATTTATCCTTCTCCTTGCAATAGTTCAAAACTAAACCAATTTGCTAATCCATTAATGTCAAATTTGACCCAGATAGGAGCTTCCATCCACATATGTGTGCTATCCCTCAGACTGCCAATTTCTACCTCTATAATATCACACAAATTCATGCCTATTCTCGGTATAAATTCTGCAGAAACCCTAAACTATATCTTAATTCCCTCTGGACTTGACTGTTGCAATGTACTCCCCACTGCCCTCCCTCATTCCCATGGGCTGAGGGAAGATGTGAGTGGAAAAGTGGTGACAGAGCCCGGGGCGAATATAGAGAGAGACAGGCAGACAGGGACAGAGAGACACAGAAATGAAAGGGGTAGGCAGATGAGGAGATTATCGATAGAAGGCGAGGACAGAGAAACTGAATACGTGATTTGACAGCTGACAGTAGGAGAGAATGGGTAGGCTGTATTGAAAGCAATCAGTGTAATGTGATAATACAACTAAGAATGGGTGAGAATGGATTGGTTGCCTGAAAGCACTACCTGTCGTGACCAGTACAGGGTGCGGGCAAAAAGACACGGAGTGACAGAGGCAGGCTATAAAGTTGTCGAACTCAATGTTGAATCCAAGAGGCTGCAGGGTCTCCAAGCAGAAAATAAGATGTTGCCCTTCGAGGTTGCGCCGAGGCTTGCTGGAACACTGCAGCAGGCCTGCAACAGAAATGTCAGCCAGGGAGCACGAGTGGTGTGTTGAAGTGGCAGACATCTGGAACTCAAGGAATTATTTTTATTGACAGAACACGGCTGTTCTGCAAAGTAGTCACCCAATCTGCATTTCTTCCCCCCAAGGTAGAGGAGACCACACTGTGAGCAGCGACTATAGTAGACTAGATTGAGTGAAGTGCAGGAAGGTGTGTCTGGGATCTTGGAGAAAGTAAACGGGTAGGTGTTACACCTTCTACAATTGCATGGCAAGATGCCAAGGCAGTGGAGGAGGAGTTTACTAGAGTGTCCCAGAGGGAACTGTCCATGCAGAAGGCTGACAGTGAAGGTAGGGGAATATGTCTGGTGGTGGCATTCAGTTGAAGGTGGTGCAAATGGCAGCTTACGATCCTTTGGATGCAGAGATTGGGAGGGTTGATAAGTGAGGACCATGTGGACCCTATCGCTGTTGTAGGAGCAAAGAGAAGGGGTGAGGACAGAAGTGCAGAGGATGGGTCTGTCATGGCTAAGGGCCCTGTCAACCACAGAAGCAGAGGAAAGGAGTGGACATTTCTGAAGCACCCCGAGGAAGGTGGCATCATCAGAACAGATACAACGAGGATGGAGAAACTGGGAGAATGGGATGGAGTCTTTACAGGAAGCAGGGTGTGGCGATGTACAGTCAAGGTAACTGTGGGAGTTTGTGGCTTGGGATGGATATCGGTGGCCAGTCTATCCCCAGAAATGGAAACAAAGATGTCAAAGGAGGGAAAGGGAGAGTCAGAGGTGGACCAGATGAAGGTGAGAGCAGGAAATTGGAAGCAAAAATAGATAAAATTTTCCAATTCTGGACGAAAGATGGAAGCAGCACCAAAGACGTCATCAACGTACCAAAGAAAATGTTGTGGATGGCAGCCGGAATATGACTAGAACAAGGCATGTTCTACATACCCTACAGAGAGACAGGCATAACTGGGACCCATGTGGGCACCTATGGCCACCTCTTTGATCTGAAGAAAGTGAGAGTAGTTAAAGGAGAAGGTGTTCAAAGTGAGGACAAGCTCAGTCAGGCGGAGGAAGGTAGAGGTGGATGGGAACATTTCAGATCTTCTTTCCAGGAAGGGGAGCCCTGAGACCACCCTAATGGGGGATGGACGTGTAAAGGGATTGCACGTCCATGGTAAATAGGAGGCAGCTGGAGGCCACAAACTGGAAAATTTGGAACTAATGTAATGCAAAGTGTTAGAAGTATGACGGATTTAACTGGGGAGGGGGTGAATGGGGAAGAAAAGAAATCAAGTTGAGGTAGGAGGAAACAAGTTCCACAGGGCAAGAGCAGGCCCTTTTCACTGATTACCCCTATGCTTGCCGACCTACATTGGCTTGCAGTCAAGCAACATCTTGATTTGAAACTCTCATCCTCATTTTCAACCTCTTCCATGACTTGCCCATCCCCACCTCTCAACTTCTCCCAGCGCCATGACCCTCTGAAATGTCCACACTTCTCCAAATGTAGCCTCTTATGCATTTCAAATTTTAAATGCCCCACCATTGGTGGCCAGGCCTTCAGTTCCCATGGCCTTAGGATCTGGAGTTCCCTCTTTCTATCTTTCCACCTCTCTGGTACATTTGTCTTCT